CATAAATGTAAAAGAAATAATATTGCTGCACCCTGTTGGTAATTTTTGTAACTTTAATGCTATTGAACATCACAGAACAGAACCAACTTGTTTAATTGAAACAGCTGTTAAGATTCAATAATTTCATTTCTCATAAGGTTAACATGGGAAACTCCAGAGCCACTGGGGCGGAGCCCGAAAGGATTTTTGAAATAAGAATATGCCTATATGTTAATCGGGAATGTGAGCTATCATCATGCCAAATTTCAGCCCAATCCGACCAGTATTTTTCGCGTTCACTTGTCACAAACATACATCCATACATCCATACATCCATACATCCAAACTTTCTCATTTATAATATTAGTAGGACTAGCTGTTGTACCCGTGCTTTGCAACGGAAAGAGGACACAAAATAGAAACATTTTAATCTTTACATCTGTTGCATATAATAGTTACACACCCGCCAACGCTTTTAGAAACAAAATTAAACTTTATAGCCTTAGAAACGTTTAAGTTGTGTTATGACTTTTAAATTTGGTAAGTAATGGATACCACCATTTTGGTTTTGATTAATTTGAAATCTTGTGTAGGCTGATATGAGAAAAACTGACCAAATCTTCGAATAAAACTTTGACATACATGATTTACCTTCATCTCCCTTAATTGTATATCTTTTAATTTATTATTGACATTTTAAATTTCAATTTTGAAGTTGTAAAAATACTAATTATTAAATTTAAATGAACATTCTTTATATTTCACTCTTCTTTATATTAAATCACAAATCCTTCCATCTTCAGTTTCTTCACTCACAATAAATCATTAGCAAAACTAAGTCAGCTGTTATAAACTTTAGAAATATAATATTGCTGTGCCTTATCAATACAGTCTTTTGAAATATTAAAGAAACTATATCTATAGGTACTATAAACAAAGCATTTAAGACAGCAGACAAAACTAATATGATTATCAAAGCATCAAGGACTAAAAAATGTAATAGCAAATACAGTATATGTTTCATTGCATCTCTGATTCTACTCTACAAAAATATCAACAAACAACTTAATATAAAAACCAGTTCTTTTAATCAGTTCCATCGTCCATTGCTTTTACATTTTCACACTTACCAAGTAAACATAGTAACAGATATTTCATTGATAGAAACAAAAGGACACTGTGTACTGCTTAGTTTTATGTTATTTTCCTTGGTTTAATTTAATCAGTTGTGTGGCAAAACACAAATAATAAATGTATCAAATAAAGTAAATGTAAACTGAAAACTAAAAGCCCCAAAGCAGAACTATGAGGGACAGTGCGACATTGTCACAGAAAAACAGCCATGGCTGCAGAAAGCCCAATCTGCCCAACTGGTTGTTTTTATTTTTTTGTTGAAATTCAAAATTATTTATTTTCACAGGCAAAGTTAGGGCCACATTGCTCTTTCTTACACTTTACCCTCTACCTATAAGTTTTTTCAGAAGATGCTACATAACAAGTAATACAATTTTTGTTTTTTGCAGAAAATATTTTGTAGAAAGTTTATTTTATAAACTATTTTGTGCAGAAAGATTCTGCGTTCTGCAAACAGTAACGCTACAAAATGTCATGCATTACATAAATGAAAGCTGTGACAACAATATTCGGTGCATCGATCGTTAGGAAGAAAGCATAGAATAACCAATACCGCTTTTTGGATAGAATAAATAAATATACCAAAGCGATTCAATGTAATAACATTATACAAACCAATACCAGCATTTGAAAACTTATTTATTTGAAAATATTCATAACAAATATCACACAGGCGGTTCATTTACATGCGACTTGGACTGCGCAAGCCCACAGAAAATTTTTGGATATTTCCAAGTTTGTTGCTTAAAATTTAAGGGTTTTAAATGTTCTGCTCTTGGGAACCAGTTTTTACTAACAATTGCCACAGTACTTCGGGGATTAAGTTTTGTTAGAAGACAGCCAAGTAACAATAATCAGTACGGTATTTGATCAGAACTATTTTCCCCTATACTGAGTAATTTTCAGTGTAATCTGTGCTCAATAGTAACAACTGATGTTTTTCCCTTAGTACTGTATATTGTAATTTGCTACGATACTGTGGATGGCTTGTTATAAAAACTAGTTACACGTTTTCTACTTGGCAACCCATAAGGCCAATGTTAAATTTTTAAAGCTATGGTTCTGTAGCAAAATACAATTTTTCCTGAGGCTGTCATCAATCTTGTTTTTAAGCCAGAAATAAATTATTTACAACATTTGAAGAAAATTGTCGAAGTCGTTTTCAAGATCTTTGTGCATGCATATTGCATATATAGGTACATACAAACATTGCTCATAGAAGAGTATAGGATTATTCATAGTTTCCTTTATCCACCAATGGGGTACATACGATTGTGTGTTATTTATAGCTGTTGTGGAATATTTAATATTTAAATAAATAAAAAGGCCTTTATTCATCAAGCGATTCTCAATGTTTTTTTAGAATAACTCTCGTCCTCATATATTCTAATATTTAGCCTGAAATCACATGTTTGTGCCGTTAGGTCCCCAAACCAATCACACCAAACAGAGCTTCGTTCCTCGCCATGAACTGGTTGATTGAAGCAGGAAGAGACAAGGATCGCTCTATATTATGGTCCGATCAGATGGCTCAGGAACTTATTAATGCTGCCAGCAACAAGGTAGGGAAATTAAATTTACCTTCATAGTTTAAATCCCTAACTCTCGATTGTGGACTGATAAATCGACAACTGAGAGGTCATTCTATCTTGATCTCACAGTTTGAACCTTGACCTTTCAGATTTGACTGAATTTTTCTCAGGTATTGTACACACCAACACTAGCTTAGAACTAAAATTGTTATTGAATTTTACTTCATTAACTGTGTAAATTTCATTCCCTCCCCTTACAATCTGCACAAAAAGTACGTAACCATAAGATAGAGTAACAATTACTCACCAACCCTCCACTGGGCACCTAGCCGATGGATATTCCATACCTCAGGTGGCATATTCATTGAACTAAACTGCCACTGAGTGCAAAGCCCCTAAACCTATAGAACCCCTCCTAGTTGGCAAGGCCTGACCACAAGTCAACCCAGCACACACACCTTACCCTCCATTACAAACTGTGGAAGCGGAATGGTGTGCTATTTGTCCCAGAGCATTCCCTAAGACTACCATATTATCATTACCTTATTACCATTACCAATTGAGATGGTGTCCCTACCAAAGGGTGTATTTCAACCAAAATCATTAACAGCCAGATTCAATCCATAAAAAATGTTGGTGTGTGAAACTGTTTGATTGTTAGGCAAGCACTGTAGCCACCCAGCTGTCCAGTTTATATTACTTTTGTCAGAACAACAATAAGAAATGTTGTTACAAAATGTTTTTATAAATAGAATAAATACATTTTAGGTTGCCAGAAAAAAATCATTTATCTTTGGTAACAATTTTTACTGATTGCTGTTATTATGTAAGCAGGTTGGTTATGTTTCTTCGTTGTGTAAAACTTTTTCAGGTACAGTAGAGTGTCAAAAATCCGAACCGCTCCTGAGGGTTTTAAAATACTTAATTAGCACTGAGACAAAAGATGTTTTACAATTTCGCGGGCAAAACAGTTCGCTTGTTGGTAATGTAGCCTACCAACAATACCCAAGTACAAAAACATTGTTTTTATTTTATTTACTGCATTCTAGAACTGTATCTTTAATACTGATAATAATAATACTGATAAATAAAGATTTATGATTTACTGTAGGCCTCATTGTGTGTCTATTAGGCATTTCTAAGTTATGTTTGAAAACCCAAGCAATTGGTTCATACTCTACTTATAGAAAAAAATTATCAAAGGTATGTGTTTTGTGATCTTTCTTTGTGCATCTACTAACATCAAAATCAGCTTTATGGCTGTTCCTAACAATGTGTTGGTTGACTATTTGTATTTTTTGTAATCTTCCTCTACTTTAATTTACATTTTGTTTGCAGGGTAGGGTGATAAAGAAAAAGCAAGACCTACACAAGAATTGTGAAGCAAACAGAGCCTATGCACATTACAGATGGGGCTAAAGTGAGAAAGCCGCTTGTCAAACTTGTAAATATATTTGTAACCAATAGTATCTTTGATCCATTTCCTTGGCGTTTCCATTGTCAAACCTACAAAATTATTTTTTAAATCTTTTAATACTTTTTATTGAAATGGCGACCACACAAAGTAGGTATTTTAAGCCAATTTTGAATGGAGATGAGTGTAGGATGGGCACAATCTTGTAGTCTTGTTAGTGACTAAGGCGGACATATTACTTGGACACAGCTGTTGATTAATAGCTCATACAGCTAATGGCAACTAAGGGACAGTTGAATCCGAACCACATTTTTGCCTTGGTATTAACGAATTGGTCTAATTATGAGGATAGTACTGCGGATAGTCGTAGTACTCACTAGTGCAGACGTTAATCCACACTAGGGAGTATCACATCCACAGTGCATGCCTATAAATATCCACAATTCGTGACCTCCTATTAGCTGGATTTCAGGACGACGCCACCGTCCCAGTCTTCTGAAGGCCCCTTTCATACAGTACGTCGGGTGACGCTTGTGAGCGGGTTCCGCTATGTGCCAAAGTAATTTGTTTTGTGCCTTTCTAGCGCCAAATGACTCAGCATACATCACAATAGTCGTGTTTAATGTCATTATAATTTATGTAATCTTAAAACCTATCACCGTATAAAAAAAAATGCTTCTTAAAATAATTGACAGTTTTTTCTGAACTTTGTCCTTATTGTATGAGAACCATGATGTTGTCCGCTCCATTACATGATTTTTTTGGCCTCTGGGGACCTCAAATCGTAAAAGTAAATCTGTCCCGGGTCTAGGTCTTACCACGAGACCTACGGTAATAGCTTATTTCCTACATAGGAAATTCGGTAATATTCCCCATATGGGAAATTCGCTAAAAATAGGATTTGTTTTTTTATTTTAAAAGGGCATTAAAGAATAGTAGAATGCATTTTCCAAATGTATATTGTATAATACAACATAATTGACAACAACAATTCCATGCAGTTTATAATAATCACAATTTGTACATATCATACTACTTTGGAACTTGGCATTCGATACCTACCTGTTTTGACAAAGGAAAATATCTATAAACAGTTACTGGTCATATCTTAAGTAAAAGTAACATTTAAAAGGTTATTCAAAAGTAATTAAAATTTGTAGGTTGAAATTTTTGTTTGTAGAATTAAAATTTTAAAATATTCACTGACCATTATGGAACAATGCGAGATAAATTGGCAAGAAATAAAATGCTACTAAAAATTATGAAAAGACTGCACAGATGTAAGATTGTATAACAATAAATATATAAGTTACTTTAGTCTAAATAATACAAAACTACATACATTGGTAAGTGGTGATATGGTTGTACACGTGGAGTTGAGTTACAAGTTTAACTTAGAATTAACCAACTTTAAGTTAGAATGTTTTAGAGTTTCACTCATTTATCAGAATAAAGTTTTCTTAGATTATTATCAATAAAAAATAACATATTTATGTTGCTTGGATATTTAACATTATGAGTTTTTACCTTCACTTTTCTTTTACTACGAGAAAGGTGTTTAGGACTAGAAGCAATTTGTTTTGGATTGCCTGTAAAAGTAAGTATTTATGAAACACCTTGTAAATACTAGAGGTTACTTTTACTGACAGTCTAAAGCTTTCCTAAAATAAATCTTTCTCGTGGTAAATGAAAAGTTGAAATCATACGATCAATTGAAAACTTCAGTTAGCAATAATTTTCTTTTGATTTGTAAGTTTAACAAGCATCAACGCTATATTATTCCTTGTTACAAAGTAATCATTTGGTAGTCCTATAAAGGCTTTTTAATGGGTATTTATTCTTTTTTTTTTAAAGCTTGCTAAGAATTACGAAATTAAGAACTGTAATTTTAGATTTTTTCCTAACAATTAGAAAAATACCTTTCAAGGAGTATTAATTATAAAAATTCTTCTTCTGCTCGCAGAGCATAATATACATGGTATATTAAATAAAATTATTGACATAGATATATCATAGGGAATAGAATATTAAGAATAGAAAAAAAGTGTTTTACTCTTTCTCAAACGGGCAACAATTATCATTTAAGTCCAAATGTTTAACATTTAACATCTTCAAATAAAATAATTGCAAGCTTTACTCAACTCCTAATTCAAGAAAAGCGATAAATACGACAACTAACATCGATGATGATTAGTGATAAACAAAATCGCACAAGACAACAATACAGCATCAAACTTTTTCAGGTACATACAGATTTCCTGATAATACATAGATATAGTTTAAAGTATACACATATTATGCCCTTTTTGCCACTAATATGCTCTTTAAATATTCCTCTACATTGATTCAGTTAGGCCCTAATATAAATTTTCCGTATTATTTGATTTGTTTAAAATTGATGTTTCGAGGTATATAGTAGTTTTAAAACCAATATTCATCATACCTTGATTTGAGGACTGCTCTTGTGTCAAACTAACACAGAAATAATAAGATAGGATGAGAGAGAAATTTTTAAAGAGCAAATCAGTGAAATCAACAGTACTTTGAATTAAAGCTATCGAAAAGCGAATGTACACTATTTTAAATCTTTACGAGTAAACTAACTATGTACAAAGATTAAATACTAAATAATACTTCAGTCTCTTTGTAAAAATCTCCTCTGCCAAGCCATGGAAGACCAGGTCGTTCCCATCGGATACTTCCTTTGGATTACTCTATCTGTGGACCGGATCTGTTCGGAAGACTCCGGCCATCCATGGATACCCGGGTACCGACGGATTTCCCAGGAGGGCCACCAAAAAGCTGGTCTATCCTCATGTGGATTAGCGACATCTGGAAACCTAACGTAGGACTGAGTTTTTCGCACAGGAACGAACGATTCAGAAGGAAACCTAACCTGCGAACTGGGATCGAGGAGCGGTAATTCTGGGAGTGAAGATGGACTTGACTCACCGAAGACTACTTCGGTCCCGACCGGTTCACAATTTTCAAAAGCTGCGGAATCTTCACATCCAGGCCTAAATGTAACTGTAGGCCTGATGGAAGATTCAGTCGCGTCTCTAGACTCGCCAAAGGTTTCTGGAATCTCAGTTGTGAACTTTGTGTTTCCCTCTGTCGTCGCTTCTGTCGTAGAAGTTTCGTTTTCTTCTGGCAGTATAGGAGTAGTGTCCTCCCTAGTGACTGTCGGGTTGGTAACTATGATCAAGAATGGTTTTACTTGTATCTTCTCTCTGCTCTTTGGTGTGCCAAATGATTCTTCTACAGCCTCTTGGAAAGGCTGGTCTCCTAACATCACTGCAACATCCCCTTCCGTTGTTGTCTCTCTCCTTGACTCTGGAACATCAAAATGACTCGCATTATTTTTATTGAATACACTGTGGAAAATGTAGGTAAAATGTAATCTCTTATTGATGAATCCACATAAAACTTGAAAAAATATAACCACAATATTTACTACTACAGTATTGCAAACTGTGTGTATTGAGCAATTTCTTGTAATTCTAGCCACTTTCAAAGCACCATTGCGTTTCAAAAGATTTTGATGTTCTCTCTTCCTAAATAAAAATTTAGAGCTGTGGAATAGACTTGTATGTTTATTGTTCCATATTACTTACATTGACCACCTTCCTACTTAAAAAGGATAGGCCTACTGATAATACTCTACTAAATGATTTAAAGAGATTTTTCATTAATTAGAAGTTACTATCATTACTGAGCAAAGAAAACATTTTTCGTTAACATAATTTTAAAGTTACTTTCCATCACATAGATTTTTAATCTACTACTTGAGCTGGACTGAAAGAACAATCGTGAAATTAACTGAGCTCGTCTTACTCCTTAAGCAGGTAGTGTTTTACAGCCAGAACAAACTCCTACTTATAATAAATTGCTTACAAACAAATCCAACTGAAAGGAAAAATGAGAGGAGGGGTTGAATGTGTTAATAAAGAAAGTTTACAATCACGAGCATATCTTCCATGAGTTTCCACTGGAAGGTAACATTCACATTCACAAGCATTTCTTCCATGAGTATTTAATGGAAGTTTACATTTACAAAAGCATTTTTTCGATGAGTCTTCTTCAATGGAAGTTTACACTCACAAGCGGTTTTAACAATAGTCTTTGATGGAATTTTACAATCACATGCATTTTTTCCATTCATGAATATAAGAACACATTCAAAGGCATCCACGGATCATGGATAAACAATTTCTGCAAGCATTTCTTCCATAGATCATGGATAGAAGTTTACGTTCACAAGCATTCCTTTTATGTTCCGTTTACAGAAATGTTATTTCCGAGGGATTTACACTTCATTCATGTGACATTCATTGTAAAGTACAGAAAGTCTTCTTAATCATGATTTGTGCTGTTTAACAATCAAACATGTTTTGTGCTTTCCCTATGACATGTCTTGATGAAGATGAAATGTTATTTTTACAGAAGATGTAGATGTGAATGTGAAGTTATCAATTGTCAAAACTCACCTTGTATAATCATGTAATTGATTTTGTCAATAATCCACGTCTCAACTATGGAGTTTAATTTAGTCCGCAAAAGATCCATTGAGAGTTAGTAACAATGAGAAATAAATCTCTATACCTCTGTAAAAACAAACCGAGTAAGAAATTGGAAATAATTTTGTTGATGAATTTTGCTTAGGACCTTTTTAGATGTGTTATTTAATTTTTCAGGTTAAAAACTATTGAAGGTTTATTAAAAAATGCAAGACCTGTTTTACAGTTTTATGACCATTTATATCAGCGTCAGTTCAGAGCAAAGTTAAAGTGTCTTGACATCTGACAGAGAGCGTTAGTTGACGCTTTAATAACTGGATTTTTACTTGTCTCTAAAGCCTACATATTAAGATTGTGAACATCTTTGTGTTAGGAACATTTAAATTTGAAACTGACTAAAACTAAAAATCGAAACAAACAAACTCAAAGCTACAAAATTAAAATCCAAGCTAGAAGTTAAAATTCAAATACCTAATGTTGGGTCAGTATAGAGATCTTTCTCTGTGGTCGTTACTTCCGTTGGCTCGACAACAGTTGTAGATGAGACTTCTGGAGTCGTTGATTCGCTCATCGTCGTAGTTGGCCACGTAGACGTTTGTGGTGGGATTGTCGTTGCTCTCGCAGTCGTCGTCGTTCTTGTTGTTGTTGTTGTTGTTGGTTGCTGAGTTGGCTGTGGCGTCTTCACCTGAAAATAAATAAACCGATTGAAACAGGGTAAAACTGTGTGTTTCCAACGGCCAGGGAAGTTGACGGGTCAACAAATGAATAGGTCGTTGTCAGCTAATAAGTTTGTAATTGAAGCATTACAATTTCACTTTTCTCTCAATCCTTGTACCTCATTGGTCAGTTACTTTACCACACTAGTGCTGTAAAGTAAAACAACAATTCAGTAAAGTATACAATGTGGTAAAATGAATCTTTCCAAACTAAGAACTGAATTGAAAATTCTAGTTTCAAAAACGGTTGTAGGTAAAGGCACTTTACATTGTATTTGCACCACCAATTAATAGGTCTATAGAGGTAGACAGTTGTGATAAAAAAAAATTGTTTTAGAAACTACACTTTTGAGTTTTGACTATATTGATATTTACTAGATATTCCATCTTCATGTTGAATTTGTCACCAAGAATCAATAGTTATTTGTGCAACTAGTGAGAAAAGTGAGCAATTGACTCAATCAAGAGAAATCACTACTCACGAGCCGTATGCGAGTGAGGAATGGTTTCTCGAGTGAGGCAATTGTACTTTGAACTCGAGTTGCACATTATACTTTTCCTACAGTTACCATAAAGCAAATAAATTTGTGAAGAAACATAACCTATTTTTACACAGAAGTGAACTTTTAATATATCATTTAATGTGAAGTGACAAATACAACAGTACAACAGCTGACCAGCTGATTTACAGCCAGTGCTGCCAACGTATTTCGCGCGCATACGACGTTGCCTGCATGTTACGCGCTCACTATTTCGTGCCTTCACGTTGCAAATCTGGAGTGAGACAAAGTAATTAGAGTGAGACAATGTTAACATTGTCTCACTGATGAGCGAATTGGCCACTTTGCTTTCTCAAATCAGTGAGATAACATGTACATTGTTAGGTAACTGTAGGAAAAATAGATTGTGGACAAAATGTGTCAATGACTGATTTTAATACACCAACTTTTTAAGTCAAACTGATTGGAAATTTGACTGTAACCTGCAGCATCTTGCCACATCAACTATCTTGGTCTATCTGGTTTTGGTCTAGCTGGTCTATCTACTTTAGTACCTAAAGCAATGTCTCATCCTCACCTCTTGCATCGGGGGAGGAAGTCTCTTCTGTACAACAGACTCCTGAGGATTGTTAGCCAAGGGGAGGTTGATGTGGAAGGGTCCGGTTTCCTGGGGCTTTTTACTAGTGGAAGACGGAGCATACATCGAGTTCAGTCTCTCCAGGAAAAAGTTCCACTGAGACTGTTGGTTTACCTGCAAAGGCAATGGGATTAGTAAATAATTTGGATCCATACAACACTGAAAATACTGGGTGCTTATAGGGGATGATAAGTGAATGTTGGGTTTTTAATAAATGAGATGATTTGGTTAGTTACTGACTGAGATTTGCTGTTTCCTCACCATTAACACGATCGCTGCGGGCTACTCACCGGTGAGTGCTCTAGTTTCTTTCTGCCACCCTGATTGCTCAACCGTGAGAGCGACATCACATTTAATTTCTGTACCTGAAGGCAGGACCTCAGTATTTTATGGCTTCCACTAGTAATATAAGTTTATGTCTTATATTTTTAAGACATTACCAAACGTAACAAACAAACACATACAGGGTGAGTTTTAATTGTCCCCCCCCCCAACTTTTTTCTACATTTTTTCAAATATCAATCCCAGACCACTTCCAAACATTGTTGGGTAGTAAGTACTTCATTTTGACAAGGTGGTCATTTCCGGCCGCCATCTTGGATCCGCCATATTGGATGCAAAATTTTTTTTTCAAATGTAAAGGTGGGGTTGTGACCCATTATTTCGAACTACATTTTTACCCTGATTACAATGCCGCAAACCTTTTTTAAAAATCTTGATTCATTCTAAAGTTACGAGGGCTTTTTAAAACTTTATTTTTAGCCCATTTTAACATTGTGCATTTACAAACTAAGACCATAATCCCAAAATAGTGCTAGATAATGATAAGTATACACTACCAGTAATTGTCCACCTATTTTCACTTGGTTATGACTGATGTATTTTTTTCGGCCGCCATCTTGGATCCGCCATTTTGAAATGTGATAAATTATTTTAAATATGAAGGGGGTGTTGTGACCCATCATTTCGAACTAATTTTTTAAGCTGAACTTAATTCCATAATCCGTTTTTCATTTTCATTTTTTGATTTTGAAATATTGACATTTTTAACCAAAAGATTTCAATATTTCATAAATAAAACTAGATAACAAAAAATGGATTGCGGCATTGAGTTTAGCTTAAAAAAGTAGTTCAAAATGATGGGTCACAACACCCCCTTCATATTTAAAATAATTTATCACATTTCAAAATGGCGGATCCAAGATGGCGGCCGAAAAAATACATCAGTCATAACCAAGTGAAAATAGGTGGACAATTACTGGTAGTGTATACTTATCATTATCTAGCACTATTTTGGGATTATGGTCTTAGTTTGTAAATGCACAATGTTAAAATGGGCTAAAAATAAAGTTTTAAAAAGCCCTTGTAACTTTAGAATGAATCAAGATGTTTAAAAACGGGTTGCGGCATTGTAATCAGGGTAAAAATGTAGTTCGAAATAATGGGTCACAACCCCACCTTTACATTTGAAAAAAAAATTTTGCATCCAGTATGGCGGATCCAAGATGGCGGCCGGAAATGACCACCTTGTCAAAATGAAGTACTTACTACCCAACAATGTTTGGAAGTGGTCTGGGATTGATATTTGAAAAAATGTAGAAAAAAGTTGGGGGGGGGGACAATTAAAACTCACCCTGTACATATTATTCTTACAACTTTAGCTAGATACAATCTTTCACATCGCTAATATATGAAAAGGAATTAAAAACAAAACTGCAGGGCTTACCTTAACAAGTTTTACACACCGTCCCAGTGAATCTTGTCTGTACCCTTCTGAGCAACCTGAAAACAAAATTATGTACTCTTAAAATAATCACTAATACCACTTTTTAACACCTTTCCATGTAGACTACAGGATTTCACTCCCTAGTGTATTTTTTTTTTTTTTTTGTCTTAGGACACTAGGCATGAGCCCAGGATTGTTTTTCACATTACTTCAGGCTAGACCTAGGGGTTGCGGCATTATCACTTGGATAAAATCCATTGGTGACTTGGCGGGATTTGAACCCAGGACCTCAGGAACACTAGACCAGCTCGCTCCCCTTTTTCTTCTCTTAGATCTCTTGACTGTTCTAAACTGTACATATACTCTTCAAACTATACCAAAGCTTTCCTTCCCGTCCATAGACTGTACTAGACTCAGACTGTACCTGTGAAGGTAGGAGCTACGAAGACACTCTTGGGTGTGATGCGCCTCAGCAGTATAGAGGCGCCTGTGTCCGCGTCGTCCCCGGCAACCACCCAGTCACCCCAAGCGGGTCTACTCTCCCCACACACCAGGGCTAGGGTCAGCACGCAGCTCAGCAGCAGCAGCAGGAGCCGGCCATTCATACCGGGTCACGGCAGCCGGCCGCCCATCAGACTGAAACACAAATATTATTGTTACTATTATTACCAATTAGGTTGGGGATATATGCAGTGCAGGACTGAGTGCCTATAAGCTTTGACAAGGGACATTTTACAGCCTGAGACTTAGTGGAGTGAGTGCCAGCCAGGTATCAGTGACCGGTTCCACGGCAAGTATGGGGATGGAAAGATTGACCAGGGGGGGGACAGGATGAGCAAAACATATTTGAGGGATATAATGTAACTTAACTGTAAACTAACCAAACTTGCTGTTTATGACAAATCTGAATAAAGGTTTACTAATCGAATCAATATTTTCAATCGATTTAGGGGTAGAAACTGAAGAAGTTAAGAAACTGTACCCGGTCTCTGTTACATCCTGCCAAATACACCCCCTTCCACTAATACCCCTCCCCTGAATCACTCTTACGCTCTGGGGAGTCAAACAGTTAAGCAAGCCTATCTGACGGTTTTGACAGTTGATGACTCCCACGGCAAAAAATAGGGCGGCACTCACTCCGCTTTCCGAACATTTCAACAAACCCATAAACGAAATAAAACTGCTGCAGCAAACCTGCAGACTAAGCAAATTTCTATATGTCTGATTGGATTTTTACTAAAATATTTCCTTAACATGTCAGATTTCTTCGGTAATTAAATAACGTTAGGTACTTAGATTTGCTGCTACAAAGAAGGAAAAAATGTGTTTTTTCTAAATTATTAATAGTATTACAAAATTAATAAATTTGCCAAGTGTTATGTTATGAAAAATATATCCATTGAAAAGCAAATTACAATGGTTTACTTTTTTTTCTTAAGAATAATGTATGAGTTTTAAATGAACAGTTTAAAAAAAAAAATTCTGAAACCTTTAATCGTTCAACAACGCTTTAGTATACAAAAGTATGTTTTCTTAAGCTCTACATGAAGGCTGTGATACAAATTCGGCATTTCCAGTTTCAAGGGTAAAATTCGAAAAAAAAGTTTTTGAAAACAATTGGTATGGAACAAAATTTTGTTTCAAAACTCCATAACTACTGATATAAAGAAGACATTTTGCAAAATATAAGTTAAACATTTTCAAGGTTCATATCTTATATCATTGACTTTAAGTGAATTGTACAATCAAAACTATACTCTTTGGCTATAGTACCAAAGGATGTACTATGGTTTAGAAACTTAACACATTGGTTGTAACAGTTTTAGTACAATAACTACAACAATAATAAAACAAGAAACCAAAATATTTAACGCCTTCAGTAAAAACTGTGATTTGCAATACAGCAATGTACTGCAAGCTGCAGCGCTGGCTTTGCAGGCACTACACTAATTATTTTCTGTTCTTGACATATTAAACTACAATTTCAATAATAGTTATTTTAATGTTTCATATACATTGTTGTTTTATCAGCTGTTTCTTAAATCTTGAAACAAATACATCAGTTTAATCTTTAGCGAAGCGATATCAAAGCCTCAAAAGTCATGTATAGAATGACGCACTAACCCAATTGTTGCACCTGTCGAACAGCTGATACATTACCACCTGTTAGGTTGAATGTGGTTCTTATTGGCCTAACTTTGGGTTGATATTTCGTCAATGTAATACAACGGTTTGTCTGTTATATATTTCGTCTATTTGGCACGAAAAAACATACATGACGTTTTCAGAATATCTTTGACAATTTCTGAATATCACAAAACTATTAATCAAAATATTTCGACTTTTCGATATCTATCGGTAGTATAATCATTGTATTCATAGTAACAAATACAATCGTAATAGACGAAATGATAAAATACCCCAACTGCTTGTTCACAATAGCAATAATTGAAAAAAATCCGGAAGTTGTTTTGGACGTTTATCTTAAGTATTTCTATTTTGTAGCTTAGTTCGCATAATTTGGCGAAAGATATAGCTCATCACACGGCTCTTGAGCTGAACTCTTAAGCTCATGTTGAAGAGTTTGATGAAATGTACTATTATAGATCTCATATTTCCCTGTTGACATTCATAAAAATTCACTTTCAAACCGCACAAACATCATTTCCCACTAAAGACTTATGTTTTCTACTAAGTGGCCTCAGAAGTACGATGTCGCAACAACGAAAGTTTAATTTACAAGTTGGTGACAGTACGGTTTTCCACGGTTCATGTACTTCAACTACTTTCACGACACGTTTACCTTGACAACAGTTCCGTTTAGCTAACTATCTCACGTGTAAATATCTTGCGAGTAGTATAGTACTTTAATAAGTATCAAAATACCCCCGGTGCAGCAAACCTGCAGACTAAGTGAATTTCTATTTTCCTGGTTGGATTTCTATTAAATATTCCCTTAAAATTGTCAGATTTATTTTCTATCTAAATAATATTAACTTTTATTGAGCAGGCCTAGGTTTGCCGCTACAGGTTAGGTGTGTTTTTTATTGAAATGTTGATAGCTTAGTAACTTATGAAATAAAAAAATGCAAAATTTTATCGACATATATCCATAAACAAGTAAACTACAATAGTTTTCATTTTCTCCATAAGAATAACATGGGAATTTCAGTTTGAACATTTTAAAATTTTCTCTGTAGCCACTAGGCACACAACAGCGTTTCAATGTACTTAATAATTTCATTTTTTAAGCTCTACAAAATGGTTTAGAAATAAATTGCAAAATTTTATGTTTTTAGGGTCAAAAATGGGAAAACCCCATTTTACCCCCATAGACCCCCGTTCCCATGGTTCGATCACGCTGGTTCGCGAACTTGTTCGAATAAATGAAGGTTTACACGTTTTTACAGAATTTCATCAAAATCGGATAATTTTTGCTACATAAAAATTACATTTGTCACAAGCATTCTAATAAATAGCTAAATTAAACTAAGTTTTTAAATATAAATTGTCTGCATAATGAACATAGGAATCTCTGATTCGCACGCCATATCTGTAGTAAAGGCATGCTATCAAAATATTATGTATAATAAGCAAATACAAATGTAATAATTGTTACGTGGACAAAAACTACAGTCTCAAGGTTTTAGCTTTTGAGATCTTAAATGTATAAACAATAAACATGAAAAAACCTCACCAAAAATACATTTGATGAAATAATTCCCACTAATTCACTTATCTCCCAAAACCGTAAATCACCCACACAAACTGCAGACTAACGATTTCCAATTTTTCCATTCTTTATCATTCCCGAATTATGTCAAGTGCAGATAATGATGAGCCCAAAACCGTTAGGAAACACTCCAGTTTTGAGGTTGTTGACCTGTAATAGGTAAAATTATCTGTTGCGACATAGGCTGATCATCAATGACTAGACTAGACACACCTAGTCTCAAGTGCCGGGCTTGGGGACCGAGCTTGGCACAATGAAGGTTAGCTTCACCAATATAGAGGGGGGAAAGTACTCATCCCATTGTACATTTTGAAGCTCGGTTTTCATGTCTAGTTCATGTCCGGTGACACTGATCGCAAGTGTTGACGACATTTTGTTTCCATTTACGGTTAATTTTACGATTTGCTTTACTGGTTGGTTAAATAGCAAGGGAACGAGTTATTGTTTATGATTAGATCGTTTTATTTGGTTGAACGAGGTTTTAAATAACTGAAATCTCAAGAAACTAATTGTAAACAAACTACGACATCTACAGTGCACCGGACAGAACTAAACAATAACATTGGCTTCAGTTGTTCCATAATGATGAGAAATTGCTACTATAGTGAGAATTACTATCATTATGATTATAATGGTTGGAGGATTTAAGTTCATAAATGGGGTTTTCGCAGCATCTTCGTAGGTGCAACGTCAATGTTTTACATTACCAAATATTATCTTCATTAACATAGTTATTATCTTTTCTTAATTAACAATCTTCAGCATATTCATAAACGATCTTTATTTTCATAGTGTAGACTATTCTTGATAATTATACATTACATGCAGATACGCAATGCATTTTCATTCAAATAAGCAATAAGAACTTTGTCTCTATAATCCATGGTAAATATGTAACTGTTTTTTACAGTAGATTTAGCAACTGAACCATATTATTTTCTAAAATTTCACCATGCTAAGCAAGGGCAAAGCAACTATTGCCCTTCCCAAAATTTAGGCGGTTTAAGGGAAGGTTTCCTGGGTTCATCTACCACCTTTTTAGTTCAATGTATTAATCAGCTGTTGGCTGTAGTTTCTAAGTAAGGGTGAAAATTAGGGGATGGAATGGCTTCCCCAAACGGCCTAAATGTTGTTTTTAATCACTTTAACTCTTTTATCTTTGTGAATTAAATCCGGTTTTAAACAGCTGATCAAGCGAGTATCGAATCGCTGTCACGTTCGACCTTCGCATTTGCCGGGTACAATCGTTATCATAGATGAGATGCGATAACCGTATAATCTACCGGGCGATTAGGCATCTGGGTCAAGTTTTTATATGGCCAAAAGGAAACCTGACTCAATCATCAGGGATGAGTAGGCAAAAGCACTTGAAGTGAATGGGATTGGAGTTTTCAATTGGCAATTTGAAATTTTAGCTCAATTGCAAAGTGGTTTCTAGAAGTAAAAAAGACACATTCGAATCTTTTGGCATAGTGGTACCTTTACCAAAGGTCGTTCGTTAATTGCGCCAAAGAGTTCCTTAATTGCGCCAAGCCCAAGGTAGGTGTGAGTTGCCGGCAGAAGGAATGTCCTTGTTTACGTGTTATCCTAACTTAACCTAACCTAACCTACTCAATTATACAGTCAAAGAGGGCCACCATTTGACGCAGTTAATAAACGTATCGGGGTGGCTTCCTGGAGTAGTTGGCGCAATTCAGGAATACCAGACTACCTGACTCAGATCAGTTGGCGCAATTAATCCCCACCCTTACCAAATATTTGTAGATCAATACTATCACTATGAACTTACAATACTGTATCAAGTCTACTTTAAATTAAAAACTGACCAAATTAATCGAGAAAATCAATTTTACACGAACTTGCAACATAAGGTTACACAATTACAACTGCAAAGCTAGACGTTTGCTACATCTTCAGTTGTGTTAACCAAGGTTAATTCTTTCAATTCCCACAAGGCCGCGTCATACTCTTATAATAGAAGATTGCAGTTTCGTGTGTTAATTGTGACGACGAGGAAGCATTCTTGGCAATAAACCTAAACTTTAAAGTACCTTTTAATCTCAATTGTTCCTCGAGAGAGAAAATAGCATTGTGTAATAGCTGTTGTAACATTAGTTAATAGTTCCTTAATCAGTTAATTAGTTCTAGTTGCATAAGAGAAAAGTTAAAACATTCAGGATCAGAGTTTTTTATAAATCTTATTGAAAAATAAAACCAATAAATAAAGACCGAGCCACAGTTTAAATAAAGCACAATACCTTCCGTAATGTAAATGATAAATTCGCTCTACTATTCGTGATTTTTTCACGTCAAGGAAAAAAGAAAATCGGGGGAAACACCGGGGATTTTAGAACCGATTTGAGCTCAAACCAAACATCAACCCTACTTCATTGAACATTACTTAATTTGTAACTTAAAATGTTTTTCTATCGCTGATAGTTTAATCAACAAAAAAAAAAAAAAAAAAACTCATAATTTAACATCATATATTTCCTCACAAAAGTCGAAACAAATCAAGATAAATTCTAAAATCTCTGAGGGTATTTCTATCAGGTGGTGCATCACAAAATGTCTTAATGCTGCAAATCCAAAACATTCAAACCAAACCAACCTACTACGTCACATTGATCTTTGACAATCATGCAATTTTTTAGCAAGGCTTAAAAAGCGTGAGGCTAACAAGTAACAATTGACCTTCCACGTGCCAAGCTCGGCCTCCTCATAACATACTGCACCATTCCACCTGACTCTGCTCTCTTTAGTTAGGCTCGGTGTCCAGACCGGTTCACCTCGATATTTATGCGTAGCCTCGAAAATGCAATGTTCTATCTGTTCTTTGTCGAGTTCTCGCACGCGCAGGCCACACTAGGTTACTTTAAAGTTTAAAACTCCAATGGAAGAACATCAAAGTGGGTGGGAACCTTGAGGAATCTTGAATTTATTGTGTTTTGGACAAATACATCTGTCATGACGAAAATCGAATCAAATCCTATCACCGATGGACACCTAGGTTAGTACATAGGATGGTTTAGAGCCTACCTGAAGTTCTCAGTCTATCTAGGTTATAAAATATCGATCGGATAAATTGGAATAAAAAACGTGGATAAGTTAACTTTTGAAAACCCTCAATGAAAAAACATATAAAAAAGCACACAGAGAATGATTTCAAACGTCTGGGTCTTCTTAAAAGTTGGCTAAGCATAATGGTATATCAATTACTTTGCATACAAAGGCCCGCAAACTACTTTTATTCGTAATATTTGGCTTTAGTTCAAACGTGAATGCATTTAAACATTGCCAGCTACCATCGACGTCATTTTCAACTAATTGTAACAGTTAATCTTTACGTCTAAGTAGCTTAAAATAATTGTTTGGACCTGTTCCATCACTACAGCCGGAACAAATGTAGTAGGTACCTAAATGGCGAGAATGATTAAATGTGGGGAATTATGTTGACGTAGTTTTCTGCAAGCAATCATAACTCTGGTTCTGTTTTGTTACGGTAAAATTGCCATTAAAACAATGTAATTTACGGGCGGGCATTAATTGCGCCAACTAACCTGAGTCAGGTAGTCAACTATTGCTGAATTGCGCCAACTACTCCAGGGAGCCACCCGATAAGTGGGGGGTGGGATCATTAACGGGGCCGCAAGTGGTGGCCCACTTTGGCTGGATAATTGAGTAGTTTAGGTTAAGTTAGGTTAGATTAGGTTAGGATGGCACCTAAACAAGCTTATTCCTTCTGTCGGCAACTCACCCATACCTGGCTTGGGCTTGGCGCAACTAAGGAACATTTCTTGTGATCATTAGAGGGCTTGGCGCAATTCAGAAACTATTTGGCGCAACTAATGCATGACCTAATTAAAAATAAGAGAAATTGCCAAAACTCATAACGCTACGGAAGCGACTGAACTCATGGTTGGCATTGAACGATCCTTGAATGTCATCTTATCCTTCGCCAACTAGATTAGACTGTTAGACACTGTCTTGTCTGTCATTGTAGACAAGTTTTCTGTGAAAGTTTTAGCGACAGTCCTTGTTGCTTGCCAAGTACTTTCGATTGTTTCCCCATCATCCTCGTGAGCTTTTACCGCTCCGGGTGTCCTAGAGAGTCGCTGGGCAACGATAACGAGCAATATAGATAAATATTTACAAAACAAGTAATGACTTTTTGATTTGTTTGTTGTTTATGCATAGTATAATTTAATTATGTATCTAGCTGAAATGGATTTTTATTTTGAAAGGTTAACATACATAAGAATTAAATAAACTATTGGTATTGGTGATTATTATTTTTTACAATGTTTTAGTGTTAAGGTAGTTGAAACCTTTCTCTCTTAAAGTCTTGAAGTGATTTATATCTATAAAGATAGTGGGTTGCTAGCCTAGTGGACTAGTGGACAACATTTTGGAGAGTAGTTTTTACTTAAAAATATCTGTGAACTACATTTTTGTGGGAGCACAAAAATATCCACAGCGCAAAGCAATGTTAAACAATGGTTGAACTTAAGTCCTCTAACCCATAAAGGACTAGGACAGTGGCGTCGTCCTGTAATCCAGCTACTAGGAGGTCACGAATTGTGGATATTTATAGTCATGCACTGTGGATGCGGTACTTCCTGGTTTGGATTAACGTCCGCACTAGTGAGTACTATGACTATCCGCAGTACTATCATGATAATTAGACCAATTCGTTAATACCAAGGCAAAAAATGTGGTTCGGATTCCACTATAATCTGTAGGTCACAGTTGCCATTAGCTGTATGGGCTATTAATTAATAGCTGTGTCTAAGTAATATGTCGGCCTTAGTCACGGAAAAGACTACAACATCGCGCCACTCATCCTACACTCATCTCCATTCATCATTGGCTTAAAATACCTACCTTTGTATGGTCGCCATTTCAAAGAAAAAGTATTTAAAAAGGTATTAAAGATGTTAACAAACTCATTTCTCTATACGCTACGAAACAGTATAGCTTCTAGTGATAATCATAACATTATTAAACACTCAAATGTCTAAAACCTTGCACCCTTTGCTGCTTAACATTTTCAGCTGGGTGAATTGCTGTGAATAGTAAAGTTCTATATTCGTACACAACACAGCTGTCCACATATTTAGGAGAATCGTTTATTTTAGGTTATCAAAATCTAACGTTTAAAAAGATTAATTAAAATGTCAAATAGAAAAATTAAACCCGTCTCAATCAAAGTAGTCGGACTCATTATATCGGAGGCTTATCAAAGATGCAAACTTTTCGCACAAAGACTCTACAAGCACCATAAGAAGAAGTTCTTACAACCTTCAATAACTGGTTTTCTGGACATGGATTGGGAAGATTTCATTCGAAAGCTGAGAAAAGACATCGGGGGAAAAACGTGGTCTGCGAAATCAGTACTCGTTTTCCTTAACGACTCTTGTCTTGGTGGCGAAGAAGAATTGTTCAACCACTTCAGAAACTTTTTGTACGAAGGCCCAAGCCAAGAGGCTATCAAAGAACTTGCGAAGAAGGAGTATGTTCAACATCTCAACAAAGGCAACCTTATCTATGTTTATTTCGAACTTAGCTTTGGTGGTGATTACATGGGTACGTTGCTGTTTCAACTGAGACACGATTTTCTACCGAAAAGTTGTATGTGGTTCACAGAGTTTTGTACTCACGACTGGTTTACTTATAAAGGGACGAAGATTCAAAGAGTCTGCAAAAGAGGGTGGTTCCAGTCAGGTGATGTAAGTAATGCCTTTAAAATGTAAGATAATATTAGATAATATTATCTAAATAAGATAATATTAGCCTAATTGTCGATATAGTTTTAGATGCTGTAGAATCCACTGCGTCTCTCCAAACTTTTAAAACGAATTTAAGTATTCACGATGGTAAATTTACGCAAGCTAACAAAACCATTGCTTTTCCAGATAACCAATCATCAGGAATGGTCTCAAGGCACCATTGATGATGAAAACTACTGCTACAAACACGACAGAAGAGGCATCCTATCTTTCGCGAACGAGGGCAAGCACACAAACTGCTTCCAGTTCTTCGTGACGTTCGAGCCGGCAGGCTGGATGGACGGCAAGTACGTTGCTTTCGGAAGAGTAGTCGAGGGAGCTGACGTTTTGAGGAGGATAGAAAACACCCCTTGCACCAATGAAAAACCAGATAAAGACATTGTAATCACGAATTGTGGATTGGCCAAGGTAGGTCTAGGTAGAGCGATCGACCCGAGCTTGAGACTCAAAGGAATCACAGTGGGTGTGCCGCACATTCATTTGGAGTTCTTCGAAGAGATCATCTTTGAAAGGTTCGACCAGATGCTGTTTGATCGGTTGGACGAAGAGGTGAAGAAGATCATCGGTGAACAATGGATCATAGAGTTGATCTGGAGTAAAATAATGTACGAAGTGTCTACGAAGAGGCCACCAGTTGAAGATGTGTTGGACGTTAGGGAGACATCGTCACGAGAGTTGTCTGTCGAAAGGTACATTGCTGGGTTGTACGGTCTATCAGAAATCCCTGATAAGTTTATCAGAGAATTGATAGAAGAAGCTATAGACAGATCTATAGAAATGAGTGGCGTAAAACTGATAGCGGCCAGTATTGTGAATTTCTTGATGCATCGTGCATACAATGAGGCAATAAGCAAGACGATATCGAAAGCAACAGTACATTCATTAGTTGAAGAAGTTTCAAGGATCGTTTATGGAGAAGTTCAACCAGGACAATTGCCACTGAAAGAAAGCTCTTCTTTGTTAATGACTGTTAAGGAAGTTCTTTCTAAAATTCCGAGTTTGAAAACTTCTCTTTCCGATCTCAAAAAAAGAGTTGGGGTTGAAGAGAGGGATGGAGAATATTCTAAAGAGCAATTGTCAACAATGGAATCAGTAGCCGCTTTTGTCTGGGGATTCCTAATGGAAATGTTGGAAAACATCAAAGGTGAAGAAGATTTAAACGATGAATTTACGAACGATGAATTAAATGGACCAAACACTTCAATTTCCTCATACGTCGTGGTATAGATTTAGTTGGATTAAGTCTTGTATATTTATTGTAACTTCTAATTAAATTCTAGATGGTAAGATACACAATACACACCAACATTTGTATGTGAAATAAAATAAATGCCTTTTGTAAAACCACGTTAATTTTATGTTGTGATGCCACAAAATGGCAACGTTTGATGGTAACAACACCAGGGTTTGGACCGTTCCCTTAAATGAAATCCTAAGAAACCTCAAATAGCGTTGTAAATCACAAATCCTTGAATTGCCTAAAATCCATTCAATTGAACTGACTGGCGATCAAACCAATATTTCCTTTTACCACGTATCCAACCTGTTTGTACTCTCTTGCCGTAAGCGGACTTAAATCAGGAATTGGCGCATTTGATACTGTATTTCAAGCACATTTGTGGCGAAGGAATAAATTATCCTTGAAATCAATACTTCAGCGCGATCAGTTACAGGTTTTTTAACATTCATTTTAGACAATGGAGGCTATATAAAATCAATTTTACGGTATCACTCCATGACGAGGAAGTTACACTTGGGAAATCTCCAGTATTGTTGTCCAGAAAGTACGTAGGCAGTTTGAACATTATCGGGAGAATCAAACCAAAAGAAATGTTTTAGAGCTTCGTAAACACGTTGGACTGAAATAATTATTTGTGTAACTAGTGTGCAAAGTGGCACTTTGCTGCACACGAGAGAAATATTTACGCACGAGACGCATGCGATTTGCACTCGCGTTACACATTTTATTTTTCCTACAATTACTAAAAAGCATATAACAAATTAGTCTTAAGAAAAATGAGTGCGGCAAAAGTAAGTAAATGCTGCAATTATCTACTTTACGTACCATAATCAGTGCAATGAAGCTCAATTTGTCAGGTAACTGAAGGAAAAATTATTTTTGTTGCGGTTGCAAATTTATGAAATGGCAGGTGTCCAGTTGTGTTTATGGTTCGAACAAATCCATGGGTTTAGCTCATAAACGGCTTGAGGATGGGGAGATATTTTCAACATTGGGGTGTTGCCAGACTAGCGGTTACCTTCTAGTCCATTCAGAGACCAACGAGTTTGATTACCAATATATTTCCAAGTTTTACGTGTTTCGGCAAATTACCTATAACATATTTTCTAGTTTCTGTCATTCAAAATGTCATACAGGAACAGGACTACATTAATAGCCTATGGGTTGATAATAATAAATATTGCATTATGATCTGATCATTATTTCGGTTGATTTGAGTACACCCATTTATGACGTATTAAAAAAAGTGGTTTATGGGGTTTTCGTTTTTTTCGGGAGTTTCCCTCGTTTTCCGTGGAAAAAGAATGTTATTTTCGGAATCAGTGTTGCATTTTGAATAGAATGAAAGCAATTTCAAAAATTTGTTGCAGGCCCTAAAATGCATTTACCGCTTTATGTATATTTTAACCTAGGTATGGTTAAACATATTTAATATATTTTCACCATTATGGAAGAGGTGAAGACAATTCTAGTACAGTTCTTGTACATTGTATGAATCTGCGATAATTTTTTTGTACAGGCAAAAAAGAAAACAATCATTCTTAAAGTAATTATCTCTCAAAGCCATTATAATAATCGGGTAACCTAGTATGCACAACTGTGAAATAAACAATTAAAAAACAATAATTCTAAAACCGTCCAATACCTACTTTACAAGAACTATCTGGAACTGGAAAGATGAAAATTGTTACAAAGTGTGTCCAAATAGTTAAAGCTTCTGTTCAGTAGCCTTGCAAAGATAATTTGTGGCACACAAACAGGATAAGGAACCAGAATAGTGCTTTGTATTCTTTTTCCGAAATCCTGACACAGCTTTTCTACTGAGTCAGTTTAGGACAATGAAGAGGTCGATGGTTGCAATATTTACTTTTGTGTCATGTGTTTGTCCTTTATCTTATTTGACTTGTCTGATTTTTGGATGGATTTGGTTTCATTCCTTATCTCAATGACTGCCACGAAACGACTAAGGACATCTTAAATTGTAAATGTCAGAATGTGTACTGTAAGATATCTTACTGCCTATGTGATATCTTTTCTACAAACCGAAATCAAAGTCGTTTATTATATATTGTTTACAAAAAGGGGTTTACTTTCGTTTAATAGTATGTTATAATAAATGTTGAAGATTTCATCATGCTACTGTATATGGTGATTAGTGAATTATACCATAGACAAAAATAATAGACTGTCAGCCGTGCTGTGGTTACCATGGTTACCATAGGTTCTGGCGCTCACTGCTGGGAGCGTTGTGCAGTTATGTGGCGCCTACGTCGTAGCTACATGGCACTCCCAGTGGTGTGTGCCAGAACTTATGGTAACCGCATCACGGCTGACGGTCTATATTTTATTCTTTTTGTCTACGATTATACCAAGATCAGGGTAGATTCATAGGATATATCAATCTATGTTGTGTTAATTCAATGCATTTTGTAAAAATTGATAAAGCAGCTGTGAGAAATTTGAGAAGAATAAGTGTAGTGAACAAATTTAATTGGTGTAGCTGCGAAGTTAGCCGAGCCAGTTATCAAAATAAAAAAAATAAAACATGATGCATTGTAAAACTAATCAATTATTATTCGAACATTAATATTATCGTAATTTAAAAAAGTCCTCCTAATTGAAGAAAGAGTGAAAGAAATGATTGCCAAAAGCACTTGATTCCTAAATTGATCTAAATCATTGATCTTAGATATTAAACTGATATATGTGGTCAATGTCAGCATATTTGAAGTTCTCAACGAATTAAGAATCTCATTCAAGAACGCAATTTTAAAATGCTAGTTCTGTGATTCTGTTCTTAAATATATTTAAGTAATCAATTATATCACTAGTAATTAAGGATATTGTTAAAGTAACTATATTTTTGGATTAAAATGTGATAATTTAGGCCCAATTGATTATTATTTTTTACAGAATATTGTTTAACAGAATCGTCACTCATATGGTTTACGTAACGGCGCGGCGTATGAAGAGGGTGCTTAAATGAGTGCCTTTGTATTTAACCACATTTACAAATATTATCAGAAATTAAAAGTATCTATTTATCGTCTGGTATTACAGTACCTATAAGAAATTAGCACGCAATGCTAAATTCACCTGGAGAACAAATTAGTTGGGATCAGCCATTCAAACGTAAAATACATTAAATATACGAAAAATTACTTCATATAAACAATATGATCAGAAATCTACTTGCAAAATCCAATGTTAATACTATCATACAGAAAAAGAATTAAATATAGACCTTCACACGTGCGGCGTCCACCGTTGGGAGCGCCGTGTAGTTACGGCATACGTGCTACGTAACTACACGACACCCCCAGCGGTGGACGCCAGAACCTATGCTAATCGCAGCACGTCTGACGGTCTATATCTCATTCTTTTTGTCTATGATATTACCCCTAACGTTACTAACAATTGGTCTTTACATGTTTTCGGGTGTGTTATTGAATTTGTGATGTTTACTTTTCCTTCAGTGAAATAGATCATGACAACATCATGTAACTTGACAAAGACGTAGAGTTTGTTAACAACAATCAAACATTACCTTGACCACAATTGTGCAATGCTTTTATCAATTTGAACCCACGCCACTCATAGCGGTCCCTACTTGCGCACAACAACTTGTGGTACATTTCCTCTGCGTTGGATCATTGATGGAGGAATGGCTAGGAATATACAGTAGGAATTATCCCTTTTTACTTAAATACTTGCGAAACTTTCAATCAGCCATGTTCAATGATTAACGTTGGGGTGTTTGGGGGAGTTTTTTTTTACTTTTGTAAACCCTTTGAATTGAGAACCATGAGTCGAAGAGAAACAATAAAAAATTTCATGGAAAATAGAAACAATGGACAATTATAGTTTATTTTATGGTGGTAACACTATTATTACAAACCTTGATATAGAGAACATTCGTTCCATTTCATGGTTTCAAAAATTCGAGTTTAGAATATTTTCAATCTAATTGAAAACTTAAAGGGACGAAAGGAATTTTTCCCCATAAAACCCCAATCTCATAGTCCGATCATGCTGTTTTGCTTACTAAAACGTGGGTCCAAAGGTTTGTACCACATTTCATTAAAATTTGATGTTTGTAATCAAGTTAACGTGCTATCGGACATTTATGTATATATACTTGAACGGATGGTGTTTTTGGTCTTATGATACTTCAAAACGTAAAAGTGTAGCGGTCCCGGGTCTTGGCCCTACTATGAGACATAAAGCAATAGCTTATTCCCTATGGGAAATTCATTTTATAATCATTAAAATAATGTTTTACAAAGGTTAACTACGAAGGTAATGCAGAATTTTAAATTTATTTTGCAAAATAATAATGTTAAATATTATTACTACTCCTAAAGTACTTATTGTTAAAAACTCTTATGCTATGCACATGCTGATTAACTATTCGTTACTAATCAGCTTAAAGTAAAAAAAATCAAAACAAGTTTTGAATAGCGAAGTAAAAATTGCACAAAACGTTTTATTGAATATAAATCAGTAGCTTAAAATATGCTGAACAATAAATCAGAAAAATAAAACAGTCACATTGTTTATAAAATACAAAGAAAAATAAACTAAACAAAATGTCTCCTAATATTCCCAGAGTCAAACTAAAAATACAACAAAAACAATTAGTTCATAATGTTTTACAACATTTAAAAGCCTAAAATAAAATTTGTATTAATAAATAAATAACGTTAAAAGACAATGAAACTAACGTAAAAACTAGTATTAAAGTCATATTTTAAAACACATTGAAATAAGACTTACACAATTATTAGGAAATCCAAAATATATATCCACGAAACTGGCACATCGAACACACAAAGCACAGATGTAAATACGTAAATGACACGAAACAAAATTTTCACAAAGCCTGCGCTCTGGCGCACTGCTTACCCCGGACTAAACCGAGGAAAAGATAGCAATGCTCGAGTGGGGAACTATCGAGTATCGAACCACAATTAGTTCGACCATCGACTCATCGATTGTGGAACAATCGATAACATCATTGCCTGAATTTTGTATTGCTACTATAAGTAACATTTTTGAAGGTTAAATCTTTTTAGAGCAAGCCATTGA